AGGGCACAAACAGGCAACAGGGTACTATGAAGATACTGCCAAGAAAATGCTTTTTCCAGGCTTGAGTCATAGTTTCATAAAACCCTTATTTGGTTTTTAAACTTGTAGCATATCACAGGATTTCCTGTCTTCCTGACTGAGATTCACACACAGACTCCTGGTAATACTAACCTGATGTGTTGTGTGTGTCAATTTGTACACATATCAGTGGCAGAACTCACTGGTCTTAATGGTTCTGTCTTCACATATAAATAAGAAGCAATATTCTGAGAAATTTAGCTTATACTAGAACTATGAAGGAGCTGAGCTTGAAAATTGTTTTTACATTTATGTAGATGCTGAATTTTTCTTGCATAACTAGTTCTTTCTTCTTCCCCTTGCACTTTTGCTTGGAACCAAAGCCTTCTGTCTTCCAGATCTTTCATGGTATAATTTAGTCTTTTACAACTTACAAACATTTTTTAATTTATCTTTGACAAAGCAGCCCAACATAAAATAAAATCATATTTGGTTTGCTAGCATAGCTTAAGGACAAGCTGAAATGTTCCATTAAAAAATCAAAATCATTAACTGTAAAAAAGCCATTCCGGAAAGTTTAAGGGCAAATTTCTCCACCAGTGACTCCCAGTAAAATGTTTTTATTCTAGTTTACAGAAGAGTACTGCAGAAACACCTCTGCAGGCAACATTGTCACTAATGTCAGAACAGGATCCAAAAATCCTCCTACATTGTAAGTGGGGGACAGATTACAGTGACAGGTTTTATGTTCTAATACCTATTAATTGAAAATACCAGCCAAAACTTGTTTTTCCCCTTATGCTGCCACAAAAAAAAAAAAAAAAAAAAAAAAAGGAAAAAATAATAAAAATTAAAATCTCACCGCAACATTTCTGGGTTGGGAAGTAAGTAGCTAAGGAGAAGGTTTCTGTTTGTCCATGTTGTGTAATACTGTTGGGCTAATTCCAGCAAGTGAACTCTTCAGCTGTCCCTCGACAGGTGTCAAGCGGTTTCACTTTGTAGTTCCACAAAAACATGTTAGAACTATTTGGAAAGCCTGGAAACCTCGACTATTACAGCTATGCCATTCTTAAGGACTGAGAGTCATGATCCCAACTTAACTCTTTTATCTACATAATTGCAAACTATCCTTCCAAAACAATGTTTAAAACTGCCATTATCAATGTCTGTTAGTCTCTGGAACTGTAATCTTCCAATGCTATAAGCACACGTGCAAACTTGCATGAGCACTGAACTACAGGTCCCATGAATGAATATAAAAAACTGAAAATTTTTAAACATCTCATACCACTAAATTACTCAACCAATTATGTTACAGATTTCATCCATTTTCCCTCTTCCTATTAAAAAAAAAAAACAAATACAAAAAAAATAACCCTAACTGAAAAGAAATAACTACACACAACTTGAACGTGGAATAAAAAGGCTGAAGTTGAATTTGTTTTTTCATCCACAAATCCCATCAGATCTTTAGTATTTATACAACATTATTTAAGTATTTTTAAAGCTCCAAAGCCAAGTACTGAATGAAAGGGGGTCAACGATAATTGTTTGTATTCTTTTAATGGGTAAGGGGCACCGGCAGAGGTAAACCGTACAAGTCTTGATTGATGAGTGACTTTGTTAAGTTAGTTGTCTTATGCTTCCAGTATTGCAGTGTTTCACAATTTTTACAGCATGACATTCAAATGATCCTGCAAGATCCAGTATAGACACAACAAGATTTTCAAATTATGACTGTTGTTACCTGTGCAAGAGAGAGGGTCGGTGCAATTCTGAAGCTCTTGGGAAAGGACTTACAAGAAACAAATAAACACTGGATCACAGTTCCATCTGAGAAGTGACGAGTTTGAAAGAAGGACCAGATGCATTAGGAACCTTCCACGTACACAAAGTTTAGGAATATTCTATGTACAAGAAGTGAAATTAAGCTGCTCTTGGAGAATACAGCAGCACTTCTGGTAATCAGGAAATTGGGGAAGAGCAATAAACAGATGTTGGTAAATAAAGACGACTCCATAACCGCCTGCTTGTTGTCTGGTTTTGAACAATGCTTGATTCTTTGATGTCATCAAAACTAAAAGGCATACATTTTTAAGATATTTCCTAGGCAACAGCTGAAATAAAGAACACGTTGTGGCTGTTCTACTGTGGATGGACAGCAAGGGAGGGACTGGAGGACCCAAGTCCCATGCACTGTAAGGGAAGATCAGGTTCATGACCACCTGAGGAAGTCTATGGGACCTGAAGAGACTCATCCCAAGTCCTGAGGGAATTGGATTCTGTAGTTGCCAGGCCCCTGTTTAAGGAGAAGTCACTGCCTGAGCTTTCACACACTATTCAAGGAGGGGAACACACACCACCCTGAGTCTTTAACTGCTAGGACTGGAGACCCTTCACAGTGAGGAATTTCAAAGAGCCAGCGGGTGTTCCTTTTGACTCCTTGCTCATACACACACATACACATACATACATCCTTCTTCTTCCCTCAGGCTTGACCCTAGACTTCCTGGAGCAGAGTCTCAGGTATCGAATCTTATACAAGAAAATAATCTATTCAGCTGGTACAGCTGGAAAGACAACACGAGCTGGGTGTCTCTAGAGAGGGGCCCCAAAGAAACCCCTGGACAATTGTACCCTTATGATTTATGCACCCACCCCGTGCACACTCTTTACACATTTGTCACACACCTTTTTAGTCCAATGGTGATTTCTGGTCCAGGGTCTTCTAAGACCTTATTGTATTCTTTCTCAGTCTCCAGGCAGGCCGTTAACTGTTCTTATCTTGTCAAATTGCAGCTTGTGCTGATGGTTGTAACCTCTTTATCTTCTGGTTTGCACTTCTTGTGCATCTGTTCTCTGCCAGAGCATGGGAAACTGTAAAGTCCTAGACTTAGGAGGAAGATGACTTGGCAACAACTAGAACAGCCTGTCATCAACATTAGTCTCATACTACATCCAAAACACAGCATTCTACTAGCTATTAGGAAGAAAAAGAACTCTATCCCAGCCCAAAGTATATCTAGGTGAAAGTCAGCTTGCTGCCTATGGCTACAGCAAATCTAGTTACTAATGCTAAGCAAGTTAGCTACTGATCCTAACAATTCTTCACACCACTCTGCATAATATTTCTAAGGTCATTGTAGTCAGGTGAAGTCCCTGGTGACTGAAAAAAGGGAAGGACTGCACCTATTTTGTAGAAAGGTAGAGAAAAGAACCCTAGGAACCACCAACCTGTCACACTCACCTCTGTGCCTGGGAAGATCGTGGAACAGATCCTCCTAGAAGCTATGCTAAGCTACATGGAAAAGAGGGAGGTGATTCAAGACAGCCAGAATGGCTTCACTAAGGGCAAGGCCTGCCTGGTACAACAAAGTGACTGCATCAGTGGACAAAGAAAGACCTATGGATGTCATCTATCTGGACTTCTGCAAGGCCTTTGACATGGTCCCCCAAAACATCCTTCCCTTTAAATTAAAGAGAGACAGATTTGATGGGTCGACTGTTTGGTGGATGAGGAATTGGCTGGATGGTCGCATCCAAAGGGTAGTGGTCAACAGCTCAATGTCCAACTGGAGGACAGTGATGACTGGTTTCCCTCACGGGTCCATACTGGGACCAGTGTTACTTACTATCTTAATCAGTGACATAGACAATGGGATCTAGTGCAACCACAGCAGGTTTGCAGATGAGACCAAGATGAGTCATGTGGTTTACATGCCTGAGGGGCAGGATGTCATTAAGAGGGACCTGGACAAGCTCAAGGAGTGAGCCTGTGTGAACCTCATGAGGTTCAACAAGGCCAAGTAAAAGGTCCTGCACCTGAGTCCAGGCAATCCCCAGTATCAGTACAGACTGGGGAATTAAGGGTCTGAGAGCAACCCTGCTGAGAAGGACCTGAGGGTTCTGTCAGATGAAAAGCTGGACATGAGCCAGCAATGTGCACTCGCTGCCCAAAAGGCCAACTCTATCCTGCACTGCATCAAAAGAAGCGTGGCCAGCAGTGCAAGGGAAGTGGTTCTGCACTTCTGCTCCACTCTGGTGAGACTGCACCTGGAGTACTGCATACAGCTATGAAGTCCTCAGCACAAGAAGGACATGGACATGTTGGAGCAGATCCAGAGGAGGGCCACAAAAAGTATCAGAGGGTTAGAACCCCTCTGGTAAGAAGAAAATCTGAGGAAGTTGGGGTTGTTCAGCCTGGAGAAGAGAAGGCTCTGGGGAGACCTTATTGCAGCCCTTCAATACTTAAAGGGAGCCTATAAAAAAGATGGGGACAAACTTTTTTTAGCAGGGCCTGTTGTGATAGGACAAGGGGTAATGGCTTTAAACTGAAAGACTTTAGATTAAATTTAGACTAGATGAAAGGGAGAATTTTTTTATGATGAGGGTGGTGAAAAGCTAAAACAGGTTGCCCAGAGAGGTGGTAGAAACCGCATGCCTGGAAACATTCAAAGTCAGGTTGGATGGAGCTCTGAGCAACCTTATCTAGTTGAAGATGTCCCTGCTCATTGCAGGGGGGTTGACTAGAGGACCTTTAATGGTGCCTTCCAACCCAAACCATTCTATGATTCTGTGACAAAGGGAAACAATGACCTTAGTTTCATTGTGGGCTACAGACTAACTTGGTTAACACACACACTGACCTTCACTTTAAAACATATGCATTTCTTTCCACTGCAATATAAACTCAATTTGCAACCCAAATTACTAATTAGAAAGTATGCTTTCTAAAAGTACATTGCAAAAGTCCAGTTAAGCAATAAGATGGAAATGTTTATAAAAATACAACCCTAGATTAATAAACAAATGATCTTAAATTATTTATTAGAGCTTTATATTTAGAAACTAAATATTTAATTATCCATAGTTAAACAGATTGGATTGTCCTGTATAGTTGAATTCCATTTTTCACATTTTTATTTGCAATGTTAACAGTTTACAGAGTCTAAAAAGTGCAACCTTCATTTCACCTTTTGTACCTAATAAGATGCCAGCTGTACAGTCTTGTAGTTCTTTACATTTAATGATCTGAAATGTAAACAAAGAGAAGTTTACTAGATATTTTGTAGAATGTTATCATACAAATTACAAGAGCTTCTGTAAAAATAAAAAACTGTGATACACTCAGTCTTGTCATTAGATTTAATGGCTTGCATCCTTGTAAAGTCAAATTGATTTCTACAGAGCTCTGCCTGAGAGCAAGAATTTACACTAGCAAATACAGTTATAGGATTATGTCCAAATATCAGAAGATAAGCTTTCCATTGGAAAATACATAAATAACTGTAATTCAGAGGGGAAGCAGACAATTTGAAAAATGTCTTTCCACATTTCTTAAAATCTATGAGCTATGATCTTCATGCTTATAGGAAATTCAGTTCACAATTCTCATTCTATTAAACCTAGGAATAATGAACCAAAAGTAAATACATTCATTAAAATTCTTAGGAGGGAAATATGAGTGGAGAATTTGAAATACTACTTATAATGTGCATTTTTTCTCCTTACAAATACTTTTAAGGAGTCCATCATAACTGTATTTGTGAAGATACAGTGATACTTCACAGTCAGTCTCCTGCATTAAATTTTGAAATCTACGTACAGTTAGGGTTTTTTCCCCAATAAAAACATTTCTAAACATGATTTTTAATTTTGTTTATAAAGCGCTAAAATGAACAATTACCCTGATACGAAGGCTACACAGACCAGTATACCATTCTTTTTCTCTATTTACTAGTTTAAAAACACCAGTGCATACATGGACTGTTGTACTTCCTGGCATCACTTTTGATAGCTAACATTCTTTTTGGTGTACCAAAAAGTTATTTTCAGTTCTTTCTCACTTCCGATTAGCAACACAAAGCAATGTGGAGTAATATATAGCTTCTAGTCCTGCCTCATCAGTGTAAATAAAAACGTCAGACTATCTCTGCAACTTTAAAAAGTGAATATGCAAATGCACATACATGGTGAAATAAAGTAGACAGAACAGCAATGCATTTCTTAGATTTCATATATGATATGCAAATCACAAATTCAAAGCAGATTCTTCTAAAACAGTTTTTTAAATTTTAATCAATTATTTCTCAAATATTTCATATTACTCATGAAGTATGCAAAATAATATGTTTAATTGCTCTACATGCAATCTTACAACTCTGATTTTCAAAGTGATCTCTTGGAATAACTTTAAAGAACACAGCCTTATTTACTGCTTGAATTACAAGAGCCAAAACCAGAAAATAAATTTATTTACATGTAAGGGTTATAGCTTAGTAAGATAAAAAAGTAACTAATTATGTGTTAATCTACCTATATACAGACACTATTATATGTGCATGTACTATAAATGTCTTCTAATATTACACAGTGACATGTTTGTGGTTAAGAATACAATTTGAGTGCCCTAGTTTCAAAAGCTTCACAGGCTTAGATTACCTAATACTATGTTTGCCAGCAGAGGGAGCCAATTTTATTTCATAAACACAGGGAAAACAACAGATTTGTTTTTTAACAGGAACTTTCCTGGTCCTTTTTAATTTACCAAGTCAGAAATACTAAAAAATCATAACTTTTCAGTGTGTAGCATGATTTTGAAGGTCTCTACAATATGTGCAGCCTTAGAAAGTAATTTGAATTTACAAAACAGAGTAGGAATCCATTTTTAAAGTCGAGCTCATTTCTTATCCATTAGTTAATACTTTGTTTCTTTATTTATTAAATTATTTTAGACAGTAATGAACACCTGTGATAATGACTCTCAGTGGACAGCACAAATGAGACATGAACTTAAATTAAAGGAGCTCACCTTGTAACATTTAAAGTCATTATGCTTGTAACAGGTCTGCTTTTTGGTCCAGAAGGAGGATGGAAAATCCGTTGTTCTTTTGTAGTTGTGACAGCCCTAGGTTTTGCAATTACATAAGGGTCAACAGAATGGCTTGGGTAAGGATCAAATGTGCCTCCTTTCATGCCCCCAGGCTGAAAAAAAAGAACTTTTCAAAGTGCCAATCTACAATAAAATTGAGCTAATTAAAGTATTTTTCATGCAAAAGCAAGTAAGAATACTGAATAGGAGACTGCATCACATTATCTTAAAAAAAGAAAAATCCCAAATATTCCTTAAATTTGCAATTGAAGCTTTAAGGAAAATGTTAGTCACTATTTTGATGAATTCTTAGTTTTAACGGTTCTTCCCTAAGTCTGGATTTTGAGGAAAGGATCTTAAAAATGCAACCAAAAAAGAAGTAAAAATACAGCTCACTAAAATGAGCTATCCTGTAGCAAAACCAGAGAACTACTATCTCAGTATTAGTCTACCAGTACACCTCCATGTCCAGTACTGGTGTAGGGATTGTTACATAGAGCAGGGCTTGGGCATTAGTATCAATATGCTTTCTGAGATATAGGATTAAATACAGCATTGCTTTTCCCAAAACCATTATGTCCACTAGTAGTACAAGAGTGACAAATTTTAGTTAATAAAGATGCAGAGACCTGATTAATTATATGCAATCCCTTAGTACAGCTAAATGCCACAGTCTGCTGAGGCTGCATTCCTGAAAAGTGCAAAAGTAAGCTATTCAACCAACAATAAAGCAATTTTGCCCATAAGAATTTATATAGCAGAGAGGGAAAGTGAAATAGCTGTGTGAAGTACATATAATTTAAATCTATGGAGAAAGTACATACAGTGTGAAGGATGGGGAACCTGGAGCAGGATCATCAGCATTGCCAGCCAGATGAGGTGTTGACTTTCTAGCAGCTAAATTTTCTGAGAACATTTCCATTCTGAAAGATCTCAGCTGCCTCATCTATGAGGCCATGCACCCAACACAATTATTCGTGTGTAAGCATTTTTGCTTTCTCTTTCTGAATAGCTATATTTTTCTCGCTCTCATTACCTTCCTCAGGTGAATCAATGTCAGTCAAATAAGTCAAGATTGAAGGACATAATAACACGAAAACAGTGGTTTAGCAGAGCACAGTATTAAAGGACCGATGACGGAACTCCAAAATGAAGAAGTGAAAAGTGACAGATTAAGGGGTGTTTCTGTATTAGGTATCTCAAGTCATTTAAGAGAGAGGTATTTATGCATCTTCAATCCACTTTAAAGTAAAATTAAGGTGTAGCCTAAGGTGAATGGCGTAAGTTTAGTATCTCATCACAAAAAAACGTATCAGGATTGAATGTTTTGTGGAACAGAAAAACATCCATTTATATTTTAAGAAATAATTACACTAAGCAACTGGAACTAATGAAGTATATTCCTATAGATCTTTCATACTAACTCCAGGCTTTCTTTCTTATGCCCCCTAAGCCCTTCCAAGTATATATATTTCTATCCTTTCCTTTTTTTTTCCTAGTTACTGCAGAGTTGGCAAATTCTAAAGCAGATTCCAAATATGTGTCTGCTGATGGACAAGCAACAGAGTTTATTTTGCAGCCTTTCCTTGAGCAGAAGGACTAACCTTATTTTTTCTGCTCCTTCCAGCTATCCATTCCCATAACTCCTCTGGGAATAACCTTTCAGATGTTTGTGTAGGCTGAGAGTAATTAGCAGGTTCAAAAATTATATGAGTGACTAACAGAGTCCAAAATAGGAGAGCGTTTCATTGTGCTACAGTTACCTAGTCTTACTGTCACTTCTTGCATAACCTTCTGCTTTGTATCTTTTTGTAGTGTATGCAGTCACTTTTTAGTCACTGTACGCAAACACTTTTTAGGTTACTTGAAACTGTTTAGAAGTTGTTCTTGGGTCAAACAAGATTTCAGTGCTTTGTAAATTGAAAACAAAGTAAATGGAGTAATATATTTTTCAAGAAAAGCAAGAAATTAATAGCAAAACCAAATATTTGTCTCTACCTTTATACTGTAATACTTAATACTATAAGCAAGGCTTTTAACAGGAAATATCTGAATATATAACTAACTAACCTTTTTACCAGGAGAACTTGGTCTGAAAGGTGGTGCAATTGGCTTCCCGGGAGGTGGTTTCTTCACAGGAGGCAAAGGTTTGTCACTAAAATAGGGATTCATGTCAAAGTACTCCCGGGGATATAGATTTAACTTGAAAGGCCCTCCTTTAAGTAATCGTTTATGTTGCTCTCGTTCTTTCTGTAGAACAAATACATAGAAAGAAACAATCTTGAGGATTTTTACTGTATGGTAAAAAAAATGGAAAGCATTTAAATTCAGTCTTGGAGAATGTTCACTCTAACTTTCTTTGCTTTTATTTGATGATCGAGGCATTTAATATACCCTGCATGTATAATAGACCATAGATTCACTGACCAGGAAGCACAACAATCATGAAAGTATAGGAGGCAAACGTCAGGAAGAGCACTGCATTTAAGATCTGTCTAATAGATGTGTAAAGATGTGTATACCTGTATCTTGGGCATGCATGCATGCATACATGCTTGAAAATTCTGCCTGCATGCATGCTCCTCACCCTTGTGAACCCTGGCCACTACATTTCCCAGATTCTGAGCACCTTGCTAAGCTTCTCTAGGAATTGGTTCTTTGTACTGTGGGAGATGTTGACTACTGTTCCCAGATTCCAATTTAAAATAAAATAGGTTCAAACATTACAAAAAATTATAAGACAAGTATAAAATGTATCGGTAATACAGTGTCACATAGCAAATCATGCTAAGGTCTCAGAACAAATTCCTTTTTTCTACCCTGTGGAAACCATCCAGGCTCCCTCTTTCCCCTGTTCTTCCCATTTTCTGTTCTGGATGCTTAATTTTTACTTCAAATTTTACTCAACTGCAAGAATTGTTTCTTCTAATCTTGTTCTTATCCTAGATCAAAAAATGTTCTCCTGCTGCTATTTTTCACTATGTATGCTCAAAATACACAGGATAACTAAAATCAGTGCATGCATGTTTACAAGCTTTCTTAGATTTGTGAATTTTTATGAAAAAAAGTTGGGTTTTTTTTATACAGCATGTAGGATAATGAGGTTCCATTCTTCTGACAACAACATGGAAGTATTGTTGTTCTTGCTTTTGGCATTGTTTGGTCATTATTGCACCTTAAGTCTCCAAATAAAAAATTAAGGTCAAGTCCTGCACGGTAGAACGTGTGTGGGATGCTGCCACATATCTCAAAGAAAAAATAATGAATTAACAATACCTAAATCATTTTTTGTACAGGATGGTCATTAATTTGTTTTCCTTCCTTCATTTTGTAAATTAGCATTACTGATTTCAAGCTAAAGGAAACACCACATGGAACAAAAAGTTCATGCAAATTGTAATAAATAACAGTAATATATAATAAAGACAAATATTTTCACCTTTGCATTTATTCTGTCTACTTCATACCCATCTGCTTCATGTGGATATTGTTCACCTATGGTAAGGTTTGGATAACTGTAAAAACAAAATTAATTACTTAAGTGCTCAATATTCATTAAAAACTTAATAAAATACTCCACAAGAAGCAAAATTGTGAAGTTACCCATATCCAGTTCCTTTCTTTCCTGGATTAGTATAAAAATTCTTTCCGGGAGGAACGTATCTTTCTTCAGCTCTCCGTAGCGGACTGAAGTATGGATATGGTCCTCCTATGGTTCCATAATAGCTGCCAAGCCCAGATCTAAAAACAGAAAACAAACACATTGATTAATGTTTTGCAAATATTTCAGGCTTTCCATGTCTAGTGCACTTAAATCACCTTAAGAAAACCCAAACATACAGATCTCAAAGGTTAAATATAAAGCCAGATCAGATCCACTGCCCATGTATTTCCTACCACAATTCCATGCACAGTGTTATGGATAAAAATTAAACAACATGGCAGCAGAGATGAAGTTCTAAGGATTTTAATAATACAACTATGCTTAATAGAGATTGTTTTGATTTTTTTCCATGAGACTGTAAGAACTAGACCCTGTACACAGACTGAATCCTCCTGTCTCTTATTACAGCAACAAGAATAAAACAAGAATGCATAGTTATAAATGAGTAACCAGGCTCCATCTGGGTTTTATATGTGAATAATAATAGTTACATGACACCAGTGGCATTGGTGTTGTTTTGTCATGCAACTAATGTTGTGAAAATAGCGAAGATGCCTTTATTGTAATATTCTGCATATATCACTCAGCCCAGCAACATCTTCTGATGATCCTGTAGGATAACTGTATTTTTTCTAGCAAAAAGATAATGGATATGGATTCACTGAGAGGAAACAGTTGCACCTGGATAATGTCCCTTTTCCTACTGTTTATGCAATATATATGCCATGTCTATTTTGGGAGGCTCAGAAATAGGAAGAAGTATATGACAAGTTAAAACAGATTTCCTCCTAAATTAAAATGAAATATTCATTTGTTAATTATCCATACATTTTTCCCATAGCCATCTTCAGCTACAGCTAAAGGGTAAGAAAACTACAGCAAAAAACCGCAGTTGAGAGCAAGGAACAGGACCTGATTTCTACCTGTGTTGAGCTCTCCCTTACCTGTAATTACATGTTGCTGCTCAAAAATCTTCACTCAGTACTGGCTAACACTAGATTGTATAAAACTACAATGTTGTAGTCTCATTACCGGTTTTATCAGAAATAATCTGTGACAATCATCTTTAGTGCACAGAAAAGACAAAAGGTCAGTTTAAAACATTTTCACAACACTTACGGCAATTTGTCTCCATTACTGGGAATGAAAGCTTTGCCCAAATTCTTCTTTGATTCTGCCAATCTGTAGCGTCTCCTTAGCTGAACAGGGTTTGAGTAGGCTTCACCTTCAAAAATCCTCACAAACTGAGGCTCAAAATAACCTGCCTGCAGAGCTGACAATGCTTTGGTCCCCCCAGGTAACATCTGTCTGTTCTTGCCTGCGGCTTCATTAAAAGGGCCTTTAAAAAAGTAAGCACTGTAAATAACTGTTTGATGTTAGTGCTTCTCTCAGCCTACACTAAAAAATAAGGTCAGCATCTGGGTGGCTCAAAGAATGTACCACAGAACATTTAACTTCTGATTCACCCATGTAAATAAATGGCTGTATCTGAAAGACAATGCTATGAGAAGGTATTCACAGCACTTGCTTCTAGTTTTCTAATCCCTGCACTTCCTTTAGATGCAACGGAGAGAGACTGGTTACTCCAGAGGACACATGAGAGCTAGAGATGATGCCCATTTATATATAAAATGGGTAATACTTTGGAGTACCATCTTTCTCTCTCACTGATTACAGAGCAGGTAGGAGAGCTTAACTGCCTCCAGTTGGGTTTTGAATGCCCAGAAGCAAAAGTGTGGTAATAGTGTGCCAGGCAGGGTTCACATCACTGACACAACACTACAGCAGAAATGCCTCTAGTGAGAAATGATGAGTATTCTGTGCTACCGCTTCAAAGCAGCTGCTGAGGGTCAAACTCTGTAACCTCACTAATCACAAGCATTGCCTTTCTCAGTAAGTATTCCCATTAAACAACACGGAGAATATTATTTTAAAAGACAGGACAGGGAATCTTGTGCACCCAAGTTAGATAAGCACAGAAAAAAAATTGCAACAGTAACTTTAAAATAATTACAATGTAATTGTCAATAACACAAAACCTGCTGAAGAAGCACACAAAGAATCACAGAATATTAGGGGCTGGAAGGCACGTCTTTCACAAAAAGCAGGAAAATACTGGTAGCTTACAGATAATCAATATTAAAAAGAAATGTATACACAAAAGGATTTTATCAAGCCATTATGCATACATATTATTCAGTTTTAATGTATTTTTCCTTTCTTCACTATATTCATTCCAACATATCAAGTCTTTCTCTTAATAATGTAGGCCTGAGCAAAGAATATGTATGAAAAATCAGTTCCCTCTAACAAATAAAATATTGCATTAGAAAATAGTCATTCTGAAAGTAGATGGGTACTAGAGGTGATCCCTATCACTAAATAGTGATTAAAATTAATTGTACTTACGCATATGCTGGGATACATATTTATCTCCAATGGTAATATAACCCATTTCACTGAAGAGGCCAATCCTCTCCATATCAGTTTTCACTTCCGCAGCCATGGCTGGATCTGCGTGACACGGCACTGCACTAAAAGAGTTGAAGTACCCTTATTTGTTTGCTCCACTTTAACAGTCTATAAGCAGTCCACACCTGTAAACAAAAAGTTTATTTAAGTAAAATACAAGAAGGTCTAGATTTAAAATACTGGCAATAAACATAGTCTGAATAGTCGACCGTATGACTGACGGCTTTGGTGCTTATAGGACAAATGGATCCTGTGTCTAGACACCATTATATCTCCTCTGTTAAACACATTCAAAATATGACAAGACAGAAAATCAAATGCATTTGCAATACAACTGGTGTAATTCTTACTGAATTTACAGTTTGTGCCAAAATCTTTCAACAGGTATCTCCTGGGTACTAAGATGACAGCTTTTGGTGGCGTTAACACCGAGTGACACAACATGCCAAGCAACCTCCTTCATCTTGTAGGTTCTCTCTAGCAATGGTTTTCAGTCACTTTCTAATAACGGTATAGAAGGTCTGTCTACGGACAAGTCTGGGGTAAAACATGAGTGGAATTCTGGAAACCCTTTAACTGTAATCCAACACCTGCCCGTGGCAAATATTTCAAATTTCTTCTTGGTTTTAATGCACATTAACTACAGTAAATTTTAGGTTTTCCTCATCATCACCACAGGGTTCGCTGTTATCGAACTAGTTAGCATTGCTGAGCAAGACAGGAACAATTTATTGAAAATAAATACACCCGGAATTAAAGTTTACAGTGTAAAGAAAAGATCATTGACCAAGGGCTTAAGGGCAGGATTTCTGGACCTCAGCGCTCTGAGGCGTCTGAAGAGACGCAAGGAGGTGGGAGAGCCCGGCCCTGAAGTAGCAGCACCGGGAGGCGGCGGGGAAGCACGCACGACTCTGGAGAGTATCCCAAGGAGTGTGGCGGAAACGTGAGGGAACACCCAACGCGGCGCCACGGAGCGCCGGTACATCAGGTACAGCGCCGGTACCACATCAGGTACAGCGCCGGTACCACGTACATCAGGTACAGCGCCGGTACCACATCAGGTACAGCGCCGGTACCACGTACATCAGGTACAGCGCCGGTACCACATCAGGTACAGCGCCGGTACCACGTACATCAGGTACAGCGCCGGTACCACATCAGGTACAGCGCCGGTACCACGTACATCAGGTACAGCGCCGGTACCACATCAGGTACAGCGCCGGTACCACGTACATCAGGTACAGCGCCGGTACCACATCAGGTACAGCGCCGGTACCACGTACATCAGGTACAGCGCCGGTACCACATCAGGCACAGCGCCGGTACCACGTACATCAGGCACAGCGCCGGTACC